GATTCCATTAATGCTAGCAGCTTAGTTTGCAAAACAGTATTTGCATAGTAAATTAGATACAAATTTATCGACCCACTAGCTGATGCCCGTGACTTTGTGCGTGTGGTATTTGTTATGCCTGTTTAGTATGTATCGATGTATGTACCTATACCTATTTATTATGTCCGGGAATACTGGATCAAAATTAACAAATGACGTGTCGTTCTCATTCTTTGCTTTAGGTCAAAATGACTTTACTTAAGTAGGTTACATACATACGTCTATTTAAGCTTTAATAAATATGTTGTTTTTAGATAGATCATTGTCTCATGTCTTAAATTGAAACTTAGAAGTCTTTAGAAGACATTTGCAATTATACAGTATTCTATTAAAAGAAATAAAACCTAAACAAAGCCATAAAACATCCTCATACATGATCATTTCAACAGTCATAACGCATAACTTCAGTATAATTACGTGTCGTCTCCATCTAACAGCGCATACCGCGTGGTGGCTGGAGTACTCGTATTGGACGGACGGGAGCGGCGCCTGTGGCGCGAGCGGAGGCATCAGCGGAGTCCTAACGCACGTTATCTATGCAGGAATGGCCGTCCAAGATAACGCGGCCGTAACTCTTGCCGTCGCCGCGTTTATGGCCACTTACGCGATATTTATGTGGCGAGCCGTCGCTTATGATTGATGGCCAATTGCGAAACGCATTCATTAACACGGCGGAATGTGACATATGAAACACCAGTTGAGTTATGAATAGATAAACAAGCAACAAAATGACTTTTTTACACAATTTAGAATGGCAAATAAGCTGACGGTCCACCTGATGGAAAGTGGTAATCCTCGCCTATAGACATGAACAGTAGATACTACGGGTATAAGAGAGTATACTCTTTCAACCATGATGATGATGGGAGGTCCCATGTGTTGCCGTTCTTGAGGACTAAGGTGTTATTCCTCTGTACCGTGTAAATGTACTACTGCCATATCCCACATTTCAAACCGAAACACAGCCATGCAAACAAAACTATTTTACGGTAGAAACACGACTTGGACGGAGGTACCCAAACTACTTAGTATGTCAAACAAGCTGACGGCCCACCTGATGGAAAGTGGTGACCGTCGCCTATAGACATGAGCAGTACCATGGACATAACAGAGTATACTGTTGATACTGTTACGCCGATGATACCCCCCATGCGTCGCCATTTCTGAAGACTCAGGTGTTATTCTACTGTACCCTGTAAACTCACTGCTATATCCCACCCTTCAAACCGAAACACAGCCATGTAAACACACGCTGCTTCACGGTAGAAACACGAATGTGACAGAGGATTATAACCTTATACTCGTAATTCCATATTTATATTTCGTAACTTTTACAACTTATTCAGATTAATGTGTGATGTGGACTTCTGTTGGAATGAATATTAGTTTGGTAAGTTGATATAGGTATGTGCCCGTGTACCGGAGACGCCTGTCTGATGTCTCGATGTTTAAACTCACAAATAATGTGTAAGGTTCAGGGGACACGGAGTGCAGGTAGCGGTGGCGAGCAGGACAGCGGGCAGACGAGCGGCGCGGCAGCTCCGACTAATTAGACGGCTGCACGACAGCGGCGGCCAGGCGGCCACCCACCGAGGGCGCACTAGATTCCACGCCGACCGCGTTTTTTACACCCTAATTAAGCTAATTTATCGAGACAATAAGAGAAATTATCGATAGCGGCCCGGCCGGTGACCGTCCGCTTTATGAGCGGTATTAAATTGTCGAATTTAAGAGCGCTACCGCGCTACACCGGTCGCGGCCGAGCTCGCGTCGCTCGTCCCTTTGATGCCCCAATAAATATACAAAAGATCCCATCAGATAACACGTGAATGGGGTCCCTGCGCCGCTCTTAATGAAAACCCACCGAGGAATGCCTTTGACAATGCCTTAAAATGCTAATAACACGGCCACAACTACCCGTCTAGAATGTGTTCTGATAACGAAGGTGCCAATCTCGCGGGAGGACCGATTAAATGTGTATTTTATGGCGGATTAAGTTAAATGTTCTTTTTGAATGGGTGTTTTATTGCGGCGTTGTTGATACGATCATCTTACGATGTGCCGGTGCGTGTGTGCGTCACCCGGCAGCCACCGTGCACTGCGGCACTGCGGCACTGCGCCACTGCGCCACTCCCGCTCGAATTTGTTTACATCACTGGCCAATACCGAGAATTGACAACTAAGTATCGGCGGCGGGCTGCAGTAATGACAGGAAGCGAAGTTGTCGCTAACCAACCACCTGGACGATCGCGGTCACAGCGATCTTCAATTATGATACAGTAAATAGGTAGGTGCTCAATGCTAAATGTGCGCAGGGATTTTAATAATTCCTCGATTCTTATAAGTTACGTGCAGGTGTTGGTATTTATATTATTAATGATTGGATTTTTTTAAAGTACGGTACCTTTTATAGGCATTCTTATTTTCTTTTCAGTTGAAAAGTGTTTTTTTAATGGATGATAATGAAATGGTAACCCCGCCTGCGCTATCGGTATACGCTGGCGGGGCATTAGTGAGGGATGATTAGTGATGATGAAAACGGGTCAGTTTTTTTTAATGGTTGATAATGGTATGGTAACCCCGTTTGCGCTATCAGTATACGAGTACAATGGCGGGGCACCAGTGATAGATGACTAATGAGGATGAAAGCAGGTCAGTTAGCCCATCCTGACGAATTCAACTAGAATTAGTTACGATGGTTTCCAGGGGGATCCACGCGTGGAGGTCGACCTGATAGGGTATTGTTAGTAATGGAGCTATTTGACACCATTACTAACAATCCCTTTCCCCCCAAAACAGGTCAGTTAGCCCATTGTGACAAATTCCACTAGAATTAATCACGATGATTTCCAAGGGGAACCTCGTGGAGGTCGACCTGATGGGGTGTATTGCTAGCAATGAGTCAGTTAAACCCCATTACTAACAATCCCCTTCCCCCTAGTTGAAAAGAGTTATACACATATAGAGTTGCCGTGTGGTCAAAACATAGAATGGACCACCCTTGCCTATTCTGTGGATGTCGTAAGAGGCGATCAAGGAAACTAAATGGTCGAGAAATGAGCAGCAGCGTCCCTTTTAAAACATCACCATAGCCTAATTGCGGTTGCCAACCCGCCTGCTAAGCGTGGCAAGTACTAGCAAAACCGCCCTTTATGGGGGAGGCGTACGTTCAGCAGTGGACAGTCAAGGGCTGATATGACGATATGATAAAATAGCTGGTTACATATACACCTTTATATTTATAATAAGTTTTAATTATTTATTTGTACTTATGCACACATTGAAAAAATGTCTACAGGGCGGATTTAATGCCTGATGGCATTCTCTACCAGTCAACCGCCACGCCAAACAGAGCTTACATGTTAATGCATGGCAAGTAATTTATCTGATAAATTTATTATATACTAGCTTTCGCCCGCGGCATCGCCCGCGTGGATCTTGGTTATCGCAATATGCAATTTTTAGAAATAGTAACATTTTAATTTCGCCATAACTTCAAAAAAAAAAAAAGAAACATCCAATTTTAATCATTAAAAGACCAAATATTATCTACATAAACTATACTTAGTGATGAGAATTTATTTTGATAAGAATTAATAGCATGAGTAAAATAAATGCGTTTAAATGTAGTCCAAAAAATAATCAAGAATTTTAAATAAAAAAAATGGTTGTTGTGCCTCACTCGACATAGATAGGTATAGTGTGTCGCGGACTTTTTTGTAGATATTTATAAGATCTACAATTAATTAGAACATTTTATGGTTCTATCTTTTATAGTTTAGGCAACGTACGCAAAATAAGTAACTTTTCTGGTTGATTTTTTACACCTTGTGTCCGAAAAACCCAAATAATTTACGGAACCCTATTTTTTTCCAAAATAAAATTTAGCCTATGTTACTCGTGGATAATGTAGCTTTCGAATGGTGAAAGAATTTTTAAAGCGGTCTAGTAGTTTTTGAGCCTATTCATTACAACCAAACAAACAAACAAAGTTTTCCTCTTTGTAATATTAGTGTAGATAATAAGATTGACACAGTGAGCCTATGAAGCTAGGAGGTGTATTTTTTTTAATGGATGGTAATAGAATGGTAACCCCGCCTGCGCTATCGGTATATACTGGCGGGGCACTAGTGAAGGATGATAGGTGAGGATGAAAACAAGTCAGTTGTTTTAATACGATGGTTTTCATGTGAAGGTCAATCTAATAGAGTATATTGCTAGTAATGGGGCTGTTAGACCCTATTACTGACAATCCCTTTCCTCCCGATCAGAGTTGTTACACTACAATAAGTTTAGATATATACAAACAGTTTGCATTGGTACAAACTTGTCTATATTTATAAGTGGTACGCAAGATATTGTTGGAAAAAGCTTAATAAAATAATATATATCTAACAGGAAAAAAACATCGGTCTTCGAGTTTTATTAGTAGACAAGCGCACTACAATAGAATTTAAATAATAAAAAAGAATTAATATTTTTACTGTAACAGACTGACTTTGATATAGTACCACTATTACAACGGTTTCCAGGTAAAACGAGACGCGCATGTATCAAGCTCTTTACTTAACTATCACTACAAGTTGTTTAGCTAACTATTCGTTTTGTTTAAGATCTGCACATATCTATTTAAAAAATAAACACTTCCTTTGAGAGTCGGATAAAAAATGGTAGAACTTAAAATCGGTACACTAATGCCATCTAGGTTTGACTTATGAAAATTAGTAAATTAAAAAAAATATTTCAAATATTCAGTCATTGTTATTCAGTATGATAAAGTAAATTTAATATTAATTTTTAAAGAAAAACACTTGTTACGTAAACATTTAAGTATTATTTTATTACTACGTAGATTATAAACGTGCATCATGTGACAGATGTGCAACGCCGCGCCGTCACTCACACTGACAGTACTAACGTCAAGTGTCTGTTACTCTGTTAGTTATGTCACTTTAATTTTTGTTTTGCTGTCACTCTGTCTACTGTGTATTCTTTTCTTTTAATATTTTTTTTCACAACTTTCATAATAAACATTGTTCCTTGAGCGAAAAATGCAATCAGTTAAATCAAATGGCTAGTCTAAACGTTGCAGAATGGACTCCAGATCAAGTGGCGGAGTGGTTGTCAGGTTTGTGTTGCGGATGCTGTGTTACAAATAATCCGGCATAGGTGACTCACTCACGGTGAATTGCGTACAGGTCTTGGGCCTACGGTGGCGCGGTATGTGCCAGGGCTGCGGGAAAAGAAATTGGACGGCACCAAGCTGCTGATGCTTCGGTGCGATGACCTGGAGTACCTAGGCATGCACATCATTGGCCACCAGGAGTTATTACTTGAGGCAGTGGAACATTTGCGGAATTTCGTGAGTGTTATCTCTATATGCCAGCTATTAGCTCTAATCCATATTTTCTGGTAATATTTCAGACAGAACAGTCTGTGCAGAATTAGCAATGATAATTCAGTAAAATAACTAATATTCATAAATTCTCTATTAATATAAAGACAGTGAGAAATATACTTAGCAGGCTTGTCTTTTGCTTAACATAACATTATTAGGAATATTTCTGAAAAACAAATGTAATTTTATTCCTTGCTATTTCTATAAATTGTGGTAATTGATTCAGATAAAAATGTCACTATTATGTGATCTTGTTATTTCTATAAGAAATTCGACTAAGGAAGTGCTCTTAAATGTATTGACAAGATTGCTTATATGTTACTTTATGACCCGTTCTTATGTTCTTTGCTAAATTATATTTCCATGCACCCATTAGTTTCTACATAATACATCTATCACAAAATAAATTGAAGAGGCATCAAGACTAATTACTGTATTAAATAAAAAAATATTAGAGCTATGTGATCATAATATTGTGCATGTGACATCTCCAATACTGGCAACATGTATTAATCAGTGAGGGGCCATGGTCGCTACAGTAGCAACAGCCCACTGTAACTGAGTGTGGTGTGAGTCAGCAGTGCATTGTGACACTATCTCTGTTGTTATCAGCTACCACATGTCACTCACAGCTATAATTTATACTCCACCTAGCCTTATCACTTTGAACAAGTATGCATATAAATGGCACTTTTAGTGTTCAATTCCAAAATTATGAACAGAATTTCTCTTTTATGTGACTTGTAGAAAAATATATTTTCCTTTGTGGATGTTGTGTAATTGTTTTTGCATTTATTTTACTTTAATAATTGTTTTTACATTTGAAAGAATTTAAACTTAAGTTCCCCATTAATTTTGTGATAACCAAAGTTAATGGTTTTCAAAGAACTGCTCATTGTGAAGTTTTTTATGCAATTTAGAATGGCAAACAAGCTGAGGGCCTGCCTGATGGGAAATGGTTAATCTACATTTTATTGCACAAAATATAGATTAAATGTAATCAAAATATTTTAAATCATTTATAGTTTCATTATGGATGGATGAAATGGCGGCAAGTTATGGCAACCACCTATGACTCGCAAATTCCTCTTAAATTAAAGGGGAAAATTTACAAGAGCATAATTCGACCTGCTATTTTGTACGGATCAGAGTGTTGGCCAGTAAAGGTGATGGACGAAAAGCGATTGCATGTAGCTGAGATGCGGATGTTGAGATGGATGTGCGGAGTGACAAGAATGGACAAAATTAAGATTATATCAGAGGAAGTATGAAAGTAGCGCCAGTGATAGAAAAGTTAAGAAGTAACCGTTTATCCTGGTATGGGCACGTGATGTGCAGGAATGAGGAGCATATTTTAAAAAAAGTATTAAGAATGAAAGTAGATGGCTATAAGAGCAGAGGAAGACCTAAAAAGACATGGATGGATTGTGTGAGGGACAATATGGCCAGAAAGGGAGTGAATGCGGAAATTACTGGGAATAGAAAAGAATGGAAGAGGAAAACATATCACGCCGACCTCAAATGGTAGTTGTGATAAGGGTAGGAAGATGATGATATAATTGAAGCTGCAGACCAAAATGTATCTATTAGTATATGCCTTATATTAATTCTTATCAAATTAGTTCCTTACTAATATTATAAATATGAAAAAGAGCTTGTTTGTTTATAACTTTATAATACTTTAATGACCTACTTAATCACCATGAACTCTGGTATACATGTAGTACATGGGAAAGAGAAGGATATAAGCTACATTTTATCTCAGTCAATATAAATGACACAGATGTAGTTATGGGTCACTTCATGTTATAAAACAAAGTCTTCCTCTACATCTGTTTGTTCGTAATGAATTCAAAAACTCGAAAGTTTAGGTAGTGTATCAATGTAAATTAATATTATGTATAATGAAGAAAAGTGATTGTTTTTTTGTTTGTTGCGATTTAATTCAAAAACTACTCAATCAATTTTAAAAATATTACTGAAAGCTGCATCTCTTCAGAGTAACATAGGTATGTTATATTTTCTGTGAAGGACCTGTGCAAAGTTGGGTGGGTTGCTACTCAGGGTTGCTAGTAATTAGTGTTGAGAAAATTGGATCTCTGTTTTTTTTTTTGAGGAAACAAAAGCTTTTGTGGTGAAGCTAATAGAAAACATTATTTAGAAGAGAAGAGAATTGTAATCCTCTAATTTGAGATTGCAAATTGGAGAATTAAGGTAACATGGAATTACATAGTAAAGTTTCAACCATGTTTTACTCTTTACTGTGTAAAAAATGTTAGTGGCTAGCGGGCCACTGGTGGCGGGTAGGTAGCGGTCGGATAGTACAAGGTGGAGGTGACGCGTGTGCCGGCAGCAATACGAGGCGTCGCGCGAGTGCGTGCAGCAGCTGGCCGTGCGCGTGTCGGCGCAGGCGACGACGCTGGCGCGCGCGCTGCGGCGGCAGGCGGACGCGCGGCTGGACACGCAGACGCTGGCCGACGTGGCGCGCACGGTGCACGCCGTGAAGCCGCTGGTGTGCTGGCTGGACCGCTGGCCGCCGGCCGCCGCGGCCGCCGCGGGCGCCGCGGACGCCGCGCTGCAGGAGCGCAAGGCGGCGCTGCTCAAGCTGGCGCTCGAGGCGGCCACGTGCGCGCAGCGCGACCGCTTCGCCGAGCAGCCCGCGCGCGCCGTCGCCGCCGCCGCCGCCGCCACCGCCGCCACCGCCGACTACATCATACAGGTCTGCACGCCCACACCCACACCCACATACTTACTCTCACACTCTGCTATGTATCTATCGCGTCGGTACCGTTGTTTTACACTGTCTTAGATAAATAGTTGCCATGCAGATTTGGCAAAAAATGGGCCTTCTTTTTTCCGTGGGTGTCATAAAAGGCGAACAAGGGAACTTAATGATTGAAAGATGAACTAATGCCTAATTGCTATTGTCAATTTGCTTGTTAAGCATAGCAACTATTTAAAAAATTTCAAAAGGGAAAGGCCTATATTTCAGAGTGGACAGTTAACAACTAATATGATATAATTATCGTAGGTTAGCATGATACATAATAAAAAATATTTGTATTACTTTTGTGTTATTATACGCTCTGTTTCATTTTCAGGATGTCATAAAAGGTTATTGGCGAAATTTAAAGTAAAATCTTTTACCTAGTCTAGCCATAAGTTCTGTTAAATACATGAAATGAATTTAACAGAACATATGTATTAGTCTCAGCAAAAAGTGAAAAATATTCTCTTCGAAATGGCCATCTTATATAGACTTTATATAGACCTTTAATCTGTCTGATCACGAATCTATAGATTTACGCACTGCAAGGGAAATTTCGCCATTGCTTGCTCCAAAGATTTTTTAAAAGACTCAATGTCGCCGTGTCTTTTAGAGCAGGCCATGCCTACTAAAACTGACCATAATTTAAAGTATAATGGGTTGAGGCCTAGGCTGGATGATGGCCAGTCTTCAAAGTTCGTCAAAGTCCGGAACGTTGGTTTCAAGCCAGGTTTGGGTAGTTTGTTCCTTGTGACCAGATGCAGAGTCCTGCTGGAAAGTCCACGGTATATTTTTAAAAAGCATATTGCTGAGAGGTTTCACAATACGATCCAAGACTGTATCTTGATACACTTTGGCTGAAGTTTTCACTAATTTTTCACAAAAATGTATTTTTGTGACTCCTTGATAAGATACGCTCCACCAAACCATCACTGCTGGATGATGACCACGTTGTACCTTTCCGACCACTTGAGCAGCTTCTTAAGAATTATGAGCTTACACTTGATCATTTTGCTTATTGTAGTGTTCTTCTATTGTGAATTTTTTTTCATCGGTAAAGAGGATATTTCTGTGCCTTTCATCTGCGTATTTCGACAGAAGGCGTTTCGATCGATTCCCTCTCTTTAATTGCAAAGATTGATATAGGGCATGTCCTGTATTTCAAAGATAAGCACCGAGTTTCAGGTCTTGTTTTATTACGAATAAGATTCGACAGCGTCCTAGCGGGAATCTTTATTTCTCGCGATAAGATTTTTTGCTTTCTATTGGGGTTTTGACGGATGCTGGCTTTAATAGCCTTTGTAGTTCTAACAGCACGCGGCCGCCTCGATCTTTTCTGGTCTTCGAGAGAGGAGGTGTTGTTGTATCTGTTGATAGTACGATATACAAACATACGGCTGATACCAAGTTTTTGAAGTGTCTGGAATATGACCGACGATACTTTGTCATTCGCTTTGATTATTGCAATCCTATTTTCTTTAACATCTCATTCCATATTGTAATTTGATAATGAATACGAAAAAATATGTGAAATGGCGCGAAATCGAAAGAAGTTTTTGAATTTATAAACGTGTTCCAAATTTAAAATAATTAAAAAGTTGAAAAAAAGAAAAGTTTGTATGTAACAGTATTTATGGCCAGACTAGTTATAATAATGCTCAGTCTATCGTGTAATGGTAAACACATTTTTTTTCAATGAAATTATTTCTTCAAGATGTGCTAATTTGACTGCTGAAAATTATAGATCTCATTGTCTGAACTAGTCACATCGGCACGAGGATACGAGCGAGAGAACAGGTGTGTAAGTGTGTAGTGGTGCAGGACGTGTCGGACCCGATGGTGCTGCAGCCGGCGTCGCTGGACTCGGTGACGCTGCGGCAGGGCAGCCGGCCGCTCGGGTTCCACGTGCTGCCGTCGTTCTGCGGGCACCACCAGCTGGCGCACATCCGGTTCGGGTCGCCGGCGCACGCGTCGGGCGCCGTGCACGACGGCGACGAGATCGTGCAGGTGGGCGGGCGCTGCGTGGTGGGCTGGAGCGGCGAGGCGGTGGAGCGGCTGTGCGCGCGCGCGCCGGCCGGCGAGCTGGCGCTGCGGCTGCGGCGCCGCGCCGCGCGCCCGCCGCCCGCGCCCGCGCCGCCGCGCCTGCACCGCCGCGCGCGCCCGCCGCGCCTGCCGCACCTGCCGCACCTGCCGCACCTGCCGCACTACCACTTCGACCCGCGCCAGCACAGGTGCGCCTCGCGCTTCTACTCTAACTACGCATTCACTCTAACGCCGGAATTCATATCGCAAAGTAGATCTCTGATGCTGAAAGTTTCACAGTAGCGCTCGAAGTAACGGCGATTGAAACTGGCAACATACAGTGCACGAACTTTGAGGACCGGTGAAAACATTGCGGAGCTGAAAGAAGAGATGAACAAGTTACACTGGGATAGCATAAGATTATCTGAAGTCCGAAGACAGGGGGAGAATACTATGATCCTTAAATCTGATAACTTGTTCTATCACCTGGAGGGTGACTATTCGTCCCATGATGGTGTCGGGTTCATAATGAAGTCATTTGTCATTTGTTTAATATCATGTCATTTGTTTAATGATGTCTTAGTGATCAACAGGTTTAAAACCGGAAGCGATCACCGAATAGTAAGAGGTACATTAAACCTGAATATTAGGCTTGAAAAATTTCGTCTGATGAAGTCTACGCTTCGAGTTTCGTATACCCTTATTAAAAACCCGGAGAGTTTACTACTCGAATTGTCGAATCGCTTTCAGTGCCTGATGAACTATGTAACCGTGGACGATATCAACAATAAGCTAGTGGAAACTGTCCAAGCAGTGGGAGCAAAATTTTGGAAGCCCCAACCCCTAAAAAGAACCCAAAAACTCTTTGATCGCACTCTAGATTTTATGAGTAAACGGCGTGAATTATGGTCCCAGTGTTCAACGTCTGCGTCAGAATATAGACAGCTTAATAGGCAAATTTTCAAATGTATACAGCTTGATATACGTCAGTTCAATACTATATGCATTGAACAGGCAATAGAGCGGAATCAAGGCTCCAAAGTGTTCGCCAGAGATTTGGCTATTGGGCGAAGCCGACTGACGAAGTTGAAGATCGACACCGGTGATATGATTTTCCCCACATCTGATATTTTGAGTGAGATTGAGAAGTCCTATGGATAGCTGTAAACAACGTCGTTAACACCGCATACCAATGTGAAGAACGACCAAAGAGCTAAAGTCATCCGACACTATACCGATGATATTATGGACGTCATTTTGCGGAAGATTGAAATGGCTCTCAAACAGCTTAAAAATGGCAGGCGTGGAGCAAAAGTGCGGTAGTCCTGTTTTTCGAGAAGGGTGACAATACCCTATTGCAGAAGTATAGACCGATTACTGAATCGTGTGTACGTACTGGTTTCGAGAGTCCTGACCAATCGTCTTACGCGCAAACACGACGACTTCCAGCCACCCGAACAAGATGGCTTCCGAAAGTGCTTTAGCATAATAGACCATATACGCTATGGTAGATTATACAGAGGACCGAAGAGTATAATCTGCTACTGTGTCTGGCGTTTGTGGACTATGAGAAAGCCTTTGATTTGGTCGAGACATGGGCGGTACTATATTTCCTCCAGCGGTGTCAGATTAACTATAAGTATAATGACGTTTTGAAGTGTATGTACAGTAAGGCTTCGATGTCTATCAGAGTACGAAAACTATTCCTAAACTCTTCACAGCTACATTGGAAGATGTTTTCAAACCCTGGAGGATCTGAATGCCATGCTCAATAACCTCAATGGTGTTTCTCAACAGGTAGCTCTTAAGATGAACATGGATAAGACTAAAATCATGTCTAACGTTCATGTCACATCTATACTGGTTATGATTAAGAGCACTATGCTCAAAGTTGTCGAAGAGTATGTATACCTGGGATAAGTTATCTGAATGGATAAGTCCAGCTTCGTTCGAGAGGTCAACCGACGAATTCAACTCGGCTGGACAGCATTCGGAAAACTACGCCATACCTTTTCATCCAAAATACCTCAGAGTTTAAAGACGAAGGTCTTTAACCAGTGCGTATTGCCAGTGATGACTTATGGAACCGAGACATGGTTCAACACGATTACCGGTATGCGAAAGCTTCAAATTACTCAGCGGGCTATAGAGTGGGCTATGCTCGAAGTCTTTTTACGTGATAAAATCCAAAATAAGGCGATCCGCAAAAAAACCAAAGTAACTGACATAGGTTGAAGGATACGTAAGCTGAAGTGGCAATGGGCTGGTCACATAGCTCGAAGAACCGACCACCGTTGGGGAAGAAAGGTTCTTGAGTGGCGTCAATCAAGAACCTTTCTTCGCAAACCAAACGCAGTGGAGGACGACCCCCCACTAGAAAACTGAAATGATGATGATGATGCTTGTTTTGCGAATTTACATTTCTAAAATTCTGTACTAACTTACGGTTCTTTATATGAGTAAATGAAACTGGCAGGTACGAAATATCGACGATGCACACGGTGGCGCACGTCGCGGAGGCCGAGGCGGAGGTCGAGGCGGAGGAGGAGGAGAAGGCGGAGGAGGCGCGCGCCGACACGGCCGCCTCCTCCTCGGACGACAGCGAGCCGCTGTCGCCGCCCGCGTCGCCCACGCTGCACCTCTCGCACACCAGGTAAGGCTCGCTGCGTGACTGCCGGGCGGCGGGACAGCGTGCAGGCCAGAGAGTATAAGTGTGTGTCGTGCCGGCAGAATGTACCCGCCGAAGCCGTGCGCGGCGGTGCAGCGGCGGCACACGGTGTGCGGCGGCAGCCCCGAGTGGCCGCTGGGCCGCGTGTGGCGCCCGCTGCGGCCCGCGCCCGCGCCCGGCCTCGAGCCCGACCTGGCCGCGCTCTACCGCCGCGACAAGGTAATATATTTTTTGGAACCCTTATTTGCTTCCTGCTGCCCAAAATTCAGTATAAGGTTTCGCTTTTTGTTTACTAATTTCAAAGCTTGGCACTCTTGTAACGTAAGAGCCTACGTCCACGTTCTATGTCAACGTTTTTCTGTTGACAGAATTTCTATTTACGCTGAATGCTCGAGCGTTGGTATTTACTATTAGTACTTGTAGTAGTTCACTGTAAAATATATCATATTGTCAGAAAACTTGTAGATTGCACACTCACGATTTCGTACTCCTCAGGGCAATTTCCTTCAACCATAAGTCAGATACTTCAAATTGCAGGCCGATTGCGATAGTTTCCATTATACCATGCCCCTCGTTCCATCGTGGAGAACAATATCTGAAATCGAGAGAACATTAGCTAGAGTCTCTGATTGCGAACGACAAAACTTAGTCCAGTTTAACCCCGCTAGGAAACATGTTTACGCGTTTACCACTAAATAAAAACCATTTGCTGTGACTCCACAATTCCAGGGCATGTCTCTTAATATCTCTAAAAACGAAATCCTTGCTGTCGATATCTCTAGTGACATATAGTTCCGTAGCCACCGCGAAGATAAGCTGAGACTGGCATCCAAAAATCTCGGTGTGTTTAATAGAACGAAGAATTACTTCACGCCGGATCAGCGATTAATGCTCTACAAATTGCAAATCCCGCTCCACATGGAGTATTGTTGTTATTTATGTGCGGGAGCACCTAGATACCAGCTGGAATCCTTAGACTAGGTGCAACGACGAGCTATACCTAATGGTATGTAGCGGAAATATTTATTGCCTGAATGCCTGAGTGTGACAGAAAGTGACCTCTGACTACCTCTCATCTAATGGTATCTGTTATTTATTTATTTAGAATATAATAACAAATGGAGGCGAATGTAATGGAAATACACACAATGCATTTTATTCATATTTCTTTTTATTATTATTTTTAATAAGGAATTTCGCGACTGACTCTTGGCCACAACTTTTTTCTTTTGAGGACAATGTATTAAACTGAGTTGTGACCATTTTGTGTTGCTATGGCACACGCATGAAAAAAAGGAAATTGTTGTTTTATATATTTTGCTTTTTGGGTTTTTTGTTGCTTTTTTTGTTTTTCATTCTTTTATCTCTTTTACTGTGTATTATGTGTATGTTTGTATTGTAATTTGTGTGCTGTAAGTAATGCAAATAAATTATCTATCTATGAGAATTGTCAATGATCCCAGGCTTACAAGTGATATCTGCGTATTCTACCGTTTGTACAACGGATTGTGTTCAATATGATGCCCACGTCCACTTTCTACCATCGTACGGCTCACCATCGACAGGTTTCACCCCTCATACCCAAGAACTTAGATGGTCGCGTACAACGCGGTTTCAGAGATGTTTTCTCTCACAAATGCTCAGGTTAAGGAATGAACGTACTGTCGAGGTTTTTCCAAGTGACTATAGCATGGGGTTTTTCGAAAAAGGAGTAAAGAATTTGTTTCAGGCGTTCAGGTGTACTGCAGGCGTTCATAAGCTATGGTAACCGCTTACCATCAGGGGCTTGAATGCTTGTTTGCCACCTTAGTAGTATAAAAAAAAGTAAATTTGTATTTGGACGTGGCGTGGCAGGCGGTGTCGTACAGCACGGGGCTGGAACTGTCGCCGCGGCCGCGCACGTGCCTGGGCGTGCTGGCGGCGCCGTCGCCCGCGCCGTCGCCGCCGCCGTCGCCCGCCGCCGCCGCCGCCGCCGCCGCCGCCGCCGCCGCCGCCGCCGCCGCCGCCGCCGCCGCCGCCGCCGGCCGCGGCAAGCTGGACAAGAGCCACTCGACGCCGGCCTACGACTTCGGCGGCGCGGCGCCGGACGCGCGCCCGCTGCACGCGCAGCCCATCCCGGAGTCGCCCACCTCGCCCGCCGACAGGTACTGCTGCACCATCTGCCGCTACCGCTCTACAAACACCTACTATATTACAATTTAACAACCAATTTTGTTTATTTTCAGTCCAACGATACTAATTCACTCGGCGGAGAAAGCGGATCAGATCCTGGACTTCAAGAAATCTAGCTCCCAGATCGGGGAGGCTATTCTGCAGCAGCAGAGTCGCCGCGCCGATCCGGTCGCCCACACGGAACACACGGTATACATTGAACATACTTTCTTTTTACAAATTTACGACGCGGAAAAAAGGGTAACAAGAAATACATGGAACGCGTTTCCAGTAACTAGAATCTTTAATCAGAGCGCTCAAAATCTTGTGCAATTAACAAACACATTGAAGGCGGGCATTAATAATTTTGTCCTGTAAGATATATAGTAGCAATTATTATCTAACTAATACATAACACATGTAAACAGACGCGTACTTCTAGTCACGGGTACGTTGGCCTGGGGATCAGTCGTATTTTTATTGTTATCGGTAATCCACGTAATCATCTGCTATTCGTGGCTCAACAATGGAATGTATCATGTGTGACCTTTGAAAAGTGAACGTATTTGTGGTGTGATAAATTTTTAAAAAATCTGTCGAGAATCAGTAAAATATAAATAGGAGACATGATGCTGGCGCAAATATCCTCCAGAATACCTGGTTTTTGGAATAATTCACCGAGACTGGTACGCGGAATTTGAGGAAGTCGCAGCCGATCAAAAGTTAGTTGATACGAGTATAGTCGTTTGTAACTTGCTCGCCGCTAGTATCTAGTGTACATAGTAGTAGCTGAGCAAAGAGTACGAGGAATAAATCGGCGACCAGAAAATACGAACCCTTAAAGTTGAGATTATCTACCATCTCTAAAGAGTCCAAGGTCCGGCAATTGTAGAAGCTGCTGAGAGAGTTAGAGCTAGTTGTTTAAAAGCATTTGCAGTTCTATACATGTATGAAAGGCTTGTCAAGGAAAAAGTTCTCGGACGAAACGCTGCTAACTGTGAAGGAGGCACTTAACAGCAAGGGCTGTTCTTATCGTTAGAGAAGTTACAGATCTGGAGAAGCTCCTTGTTATGACCCTGTCGCTGTCCGAAGGTATAGGAAGTGTCACAAGCTGGTCTAAGAGCTCTACAGGTAATTAACGATTTAGCATAAATGGCAAAATTAATGAAGCGGCTAAATCAAATAGGTCTAGGTCGAGATTTCGCGATACTTATATCTATTCTTTCCGTTCACAGTCGAGAAACCGAAATGATATGCGAAAAAAATTTATTTTAAATTAATTTTGCTTCCATTATTATGGCTAAAATACACACAAGCACATTAAATTCTGTGCATGAGAGTAACAACTGAATATAAAGTATGTAGATTGGCAATATAAAAGAGAAAATATAATAACGTGTCAGAGAGAGAAAATAAATAGGACGCTCACCTACAGAATATAATATACCAGAGGGAGACTTTGTACAAAAGTCGTTTGCTTGGGTACCTCTGTCCTATTCGTGTTTCAACCGTGAAGCAGTTGTGTTTGAATGTCTGTGTTTCGGTTTGAAGGGTGGGATATGGCGTGAATTTACTAGGTACAGAGGAATAACATCTGAGTCCTCAGGAATGGCAACGCATGGGGGGTATTATGGGCGAAACAGTATGTGTGTGTACTGTTATGTCCACGGTACTGCTCATGTCTATAAGCGACGGTTACCACTTTCCATCAGGTGGGTCGTCAGCTTGTTTGTCATTCTAAGTCGTATAAAAAAAAATATAAGCTCGAAGCGGATTTGCCAGAAATTAGAATAAAAAGTAAAATTATTTTTACGTTTCGTAGTGGAATTAGTTTTAACTACGTAAATGTAGTTAAAATTAAGTGTACTTTATTTGAATATAACAAAATACGAAAAGAACCATTAGATTGCACATATTTCAAGTAATTACGCTATAAACATTTATTTCTTTAAATGCAATATGACAAAACAATCAGAACTACTTTGTACAACAATAGGTAGGAAAATATATAAGCTCCCTGCCGAGGTTTTCCCAAGAGACTACAGCATGGGGTTCTTCAAAAGGGGGGTAAAGAGGTTTCTTCAGGGTTGGCAACGCGCGCGTAATACCTCTGGTATTGCAGGCGTTCATAGGCTACGGTAACCGCTTACCATCAGGTGGGCCGTATGCTTGTTTGCCACCTCAGTGGTATAAAAAAAAATATCTTATTTATATTGTCCACGAATTGAAATTAAAATTATAATAATTATATGATTTTTTTTTTATTTTTGCCGTTTCGATTCTATATAAACTCTGTCCTGTGTATGACAGGTAGGGATTTATAAAACGCGCACACTAGTGTGACCATTTGCTTGTCTCGTTTCTGTGATTGCACTGCCAGTGTGTACGTATGCAGTGCGTTAAGCACGTCTCCGAGTATGTTAATGACGAAATACAAACTAATACAGGGCGGTCGCTAGCTGTCTGTGGATGTCTGTTCAATTGTGCCATGTGACCACGTGTGTATTACGGATAAATAAGCAAATTACAATTTGTAGATACCGGGGCAAATGTGTTTGTTTTACCGGCGTCAACATTTTTATGTCGCGATAGTGAATCAAGAGTTTATGATTGTATGTGCCTAATAGAATTGAAATTTGTTCATTCGAAACTGAATCGTTGGTGCTAGATATATACTAAAAAACCTATGATAATCTCTGTAAGTATGTATATGGTAACACGAATCCTGTTTCGTACAGGACAGGCTCAGCCTAGTGTAGGAATCGATGATAAATTCTGTGCTTATTCAAACATACTTTGTTAAATAAATATATCTTAAACATAATATATCTTTAGAACTTAGTTTACGTAGACAGTGGAAGTGGACATTGTTGCAAATATCAAGCGTCTAACATTAAGTGAAGACTTTTTACCACGTCACGGAGTGATTGTTGATTTGAGCACACGTAAGTTGATGGACAGTTTGGCTAAATTAAACTCTATTGCATACGTAATTAATGTCAATCAACCTGCTTTGAAACGTATAGATGATAAAAGCCTTTTTTTGCTTTATTAAGTAACTAGCGACCCGCCCCGGCTTCGCACGGGTGCAATGCTGATACTAAATATACCTACCTACTGCAGAATATTTATCTATAATATTATGCAAGTACTATACATATAAACCCTCCTCTTGAATCACTCTATCTATTAAAAAAAAACCGCTTCAAAATCCGTTGCATAGTTTTAAGGATTAAAGCATACATAGGGACGGACAGACAGCGACAGCGACTTTATTTTATACTATGTAGTGATAATTAATTAAAAAAATCGACTTCAGTTGAGACAGAACAAGTTATTTCGATTTAAAAATTAAATTACTGAACCGATTGTGATAAAATTTTTAAAGGACAAAACTGTAAATATATCAGATTGCAGATAAAAAAAAAGAATTTTCCAAATCGGTTCACAACTGATGGAGTTATGAGGTAAACATCAAAAAAAGAAACATACAACCAAATTGAAAATTTCCGTTACTTCGAAGTTGGTTGATAAAATAACACTAACCCTGTGTCGTATAAAGAAGTGCCTAATATTGGAGTTTGCCGTCATATGGAGACGACTGGACCTCCAGTATATGTAAAAGGTCATGAAGCACTTTTGTGTCGTGTAGAAACGTGTGACATGGGTATACGCCTGTCGTCCAAAAGTCCTTGGCCATTTCCTCATAACGTTCCATATCGTATCAAGAATAATGGTGAAATTTGTCCTTGTGAGGAATATAGAAAGCATAACCCTGTCACCGTACTGGATCGTTATCCCATTATTCGGTTATTAGAGTTTACATAGCTACTGTGAAATAAACTATTTTCCAAAATAGATGTCGGCCGCGCTTGTCATTGTATCGCGATCGCTCCGGAGGATGTTGAGAAAACTGCAAACGTACCAATGTTTTATGAAATACTGTATTACAAAATTTAGATGAAGACTTTCGACATAATGTATTTTGTTACATAGATGGCGTTATAGTAGTAAGTAGTGATGAATGGGAATACTATATATGCCTAGGATTTTATTTCAATAATTTAGTACATATGCAATCACTTTATTAATCTATACTTATAATAAATCTGTAGAGAGATCAATTCTGTACATGAAATGTATTTCCAAAATAACTATCAGGGGGTGATTAGTGATCGATACTGATGTCAAAAATGCAAACAGTAAAATTTTTGTCTGCCTGTCGGTCTGTATGTTCGTTATAGAAACAAAAACTACTCGACAGATTTTAACGAAACTTAGTGCAATTATTCTTTATACTCTTGGGCAAGTTATAGTATACTTTTCATCATGCTACGATCAATAGGAGTGGAGAAGTGAAGGGAAATGTTAAAATGTCCACCTGTGCGACGCCGGGACGGGCCGCTAGTAATAAATAATTCTTTATTAAGGTTACCAGAACCCACTTTTTATATTTTACAAATTCCGATAATTATAGTTGGGTTCTTTCGACGTGCAAGTTAACACAATGGTTCTATAGAAAGAATCCAGCCTACTTGTTGACATGGCTAGGGCGCAGTTGAAGTTATCCCTTACTCAGAAAAGCAGTGATGCAGATCAGTTTTCGAATAATGGTGTAGTAACAATCCACATGGATTCCCACAAACATTCCCGATGCACTGCAGAATTGAGGTAGCCTCAACAACACGTGGAATGTGTTCTAACTATAACTCTATCTAAGTGGTCATAAGGACAATCAGTAATTGATTTCTTAGGGCACGGGACTTGTAATTGGATACATCGGTTTGATGACAAAGTTCAATATATCATTGATCTCCCAAAGCTGGAAACTTTCTATACTATATTCTATACTAGATTATTGGAAATGGTAAATTTTTAACGATTTCACGGTCCAAACGCTGTATTATGCCAATTAGTATTACATAGGTCAAAAACAAAGATCACGTATTGCGTGGACACCTAATGCTGAGTTAGCATTCGAGGAATGTAAGCGGAGCTTGTGTAATGCAGCTGCACGAATGCGCCATACCGCGAATGCACCGCTTGCACTAATGACCCGATGCAGGCGACACGTGTGCGGCGAGTATCATATCAAACTTTATAGTTACGTTTAGAAACGTTTATTAAGAACTTATGATCGCGAACTTTTGGCCGTAAATTCGGTTTAAATCAATTCGTCATTTTCAAAGTATGGTCGGTCAAGGTCGTCAGTACAATCACTTTTAACGAATTGATGAGATTATTGGGCATCGAAAAATCTGCGTACTGTACCTTACTAGTCATAAAGTAACAGTGCTGTAGAACGTTGGCACCGATCCCTAAAAGCAGCATAACCGTTGGCTTGCTTGATTGTGACGTAACGCTGAAGGGAATTATCTATTGTTACTAGTAGGGGAATTCTAACAGCGGCGAAGAGCGATAATGATCATTATCTCAGCCACTATCTATCCACGGCTGAAAATAGACTTCCCCGATACACCGCCATAAGGAATAGTTCTGAGCAACCTACATCCACTGACTCCATGCAATTGAGGTCATCACTCCATCTAGTGGGGTGTCATCCTACACTGCATTTGCTCGTACTGGGTCACCATTCAAAAACCTTTCTTCCTCATCGGTTGTCGATTCTTCGAGCTATGTGCCCAGCCTATTGCCACTTCAGCTTGCTTATTCTTCGGGCTGTGTCAGTGACTTTGGTTCTTTTGCGAATACCCTCGTTTCGGATTCTGTCACACTAAGATACTCCAAAACACAGCTTTCTAGATCATACTGCTGTTGCCAATTCGTTTGCCAGGCTTGGCACCTACTGGTTTTAGAGATATCGATGAACAAAGAGAAAATAATTCATTTTCATTGAAAGTCTGATAGTTTAGCGAGAAATGGTTGTATCGAGACCAAAAAGAAACAAAATTAAACCTTTCTTTTTTTTTAATTTAACAGTTTCCTCTTGTCGGTGCAACTAATTCATGCATCTTCCTCCAGCCAGCTCTATCCCAGGCCATATCCTTTATCTCCCTATACGACATGACGCCTAGTGTTTCCTTTATCTGTCCCATGTAATAATCCATTTTCATTGAAAGTCTGATAGTTTAGCGAGAAATGGTTGTATCGAGACCAAAAAGAAACAAAATTAAAGCTAAAGGAACCTATCTAATCTGTAAGTGTATGTGGTTAAGTTGGAAGTATTTTTTTCATGTTCGTACACCAAAAAAGAAATCGAAAAAAAATTCGACTTTTTTTCACGATATTCATTAAAATTGCGCAATACGTGTTAATTAATTAAAAAAAAAAAAAAAAACTTTTAGCAAGATCTAAAAATTAGAAACTTCAAGCTTCAAGTTTTTTTTTTTACTCCAATACGATAATTTTTATCAAAGGTATTTGCAAAATTGCCGAAAATTTTGATATTTTTATTGATCATTTAATTTTTTCCGTTAGTGTATATATATATGGACGCGTCGACTCCAGCTACGAGTATTTCGAACTGGGGGATAGCTGTAATATATTATTTTCAAATTATCTTTGAAAATAATACTGGAAACAGGACGGCGAGTGTTCGGACACGCAGCGCGTGCTGGAGACCGTCAACATCGCCGCCATGGAGCACCGCCGCCGCTCGCTGCACGACGCCCGGCTCGCAGCCGCTGCCGCCGCCACCACCACCACCACCACCGCTGCCACCATCGTCACCACCACCACCGCCACCACTGCTGCCACCATCGTCACTACCACCGCCACCACCGCCACCGACGGTGCCGCCGCGCACAGGTGCGGCTTGTACTCATATACATTTTCATACATTTGAGTTTATAAACAATAACATTTCAGTACAGATTAATAACGATGATGGATGTAAGGTTAGTGACTTAAAGAGAAGCTAGAAAATTAAGTGAGTGAGAATGAATGTGACTTCACTCGATCGCCTCGAAGAGCCGGAACGTTTTAAAATGGTATAGGATATTTGAATTCACGTAAAAAGTAATAAATGATGCTTGCGGTGCTCGGCAGGCCAAGTCGGGCGGCGGGCGCTAGTCAACGCGCGCCGGCGCCGCCGCCGCGGCCCGCCGCTACGTTACGTGGCCCGCCTCCGCCGCCGGCGTCGACTGCGCCGACTGCGCCGACTGCGCCGACCGCGCCGTCCGCGCCGGTCGCGCCGACCACGCCGGCCGTTCCGGCCACTACATACCCGGTGCTGCGCGCTGTGCCGCAGCAGCCCGCGCAGGACTATTCGCCGTTCAAGCTCGCGAGGCCGATTGACGCTAACCAGGTACCTATATTAGACACAGCATAATTCGTTCAGTTTCCTATGTAAGTGGTTACAGTAAACAAAAGCAGCAATAAAAAAAAAAAAACTCGTATAGTTTTTTAAATACAACTGTTCGCATGAAGTATATTGACATGTAAGTGTGCAATTTTTTTTTATTATCAAATCAAAAATTGTATTTGTTAGATATCCCTCCCGCTTCGCCACATTACAAAGCACGATATTAAAGTGATACCGAGCGAGCGGCGGGAATTGCCGCCCATCAACGCCGAGCCGGAGCCCCCAGCGGCGGCGCCGGGCTCGCCGGCAGGGGGCGGCGGCGGCGGCGGCGGCGGCTCGGTCGCGGCGGTGGCGGCGGTGGCGGCGGGGGGCGGGGGCGGCGGGCCGCGGCGGGACGGGGACGTGGTGCTGCCCGCGGCCGCGTCCGCGTCCTCGCCCTCCACCGCCTCCGTCAAAAGTATTTTTCCGTCTTCCAAATCTAGAAGCCTCAAGAAAAAGAGCTCCATACTTGCCAGTGAGTAGATATGTATATATAATATATACCTTATAATAAGATACTTAATTGTCTCTGTGAGAACTGTGTGAAATTTTTAACAAACTGCCAGAGTCTGTTCTGGATTTGCCTGAAAAAAATGTTTAAATCTAGCAAAAAATGCACTCTTAGAATCACGAAGATTCAGTGGCAATTTTATTATGAATTAACTTATGCCTTTAACTGTATAATGAGTGAATACTGTAACTATATTATGTTATATATTGTGGCCCTTGAGTAAGTCACGCTCACTAAAATGATCAGACAGGTGGTCTCGTGGTGAGCTGGGTTTTAGAATACGTTACGCTCAACCATATGTTAGGGAACATATGGTTGAGCGCAACGACGGCTGAGTCACCCGTCATACTCGTGAACGGATACTGCCTGTAAGGATTGGTCTGCTCTGGTCATTGCAACTGGTTTATTTTATTGATTTGTTTTAATTATGTACTTAAGGGTGGGTAATGTTTAGCAATATCTATACATTGTAGGCACAATAGACACATCTTAGACCAATAACAGATACGAGGTCTAATAAAAAAATAACCGTTATTTTCAATTTTTTCGCAAATTATTTATTTATTCATCAATACTCAAATCTAGTCAAAGTAACCCCCCTCAGATATAATACACTTATGCCAGCGTTTTTTCCAATCCTCGAAACACTTCTGAAACGCGCTTTTTGGTATAGCCAACAGCTCCTGTTTCGATTTTTCTTTTATCTCCTCAATCGTAGCAAAACGCTTTCCTTTCATCAGTGTCTTCAGTTTTGGGAAGAGGAAAAAATCAGCGGGGGCCAAGTCCAGTGAATACGGTGGTTGAGGCATGATAACGGTTTTGTTTTTGGCCAAAAACTCACGCACAAACATCGATGTTTTGGAACAATTTTTGAACAATCTTCGTTGCCGCACGTTTCATGCCTAAAACATCTGTAAAAATTGCTTGGCATGAGCTGAACGATATGCCAACATCATCAGCAACCTCTCTGATAGTGATTCGACGATTATCCAAAATCATTTTCTTCAGTGCTTCAATGTTTTCATCGGTTATTGACGTGCTCGGGCGACCAAGACGAGCATCGTCATCGACATCTTCTCGGCCTTCTTTAAACCGGTTATACTATAATTGAACTTGTGTTCTGCTCATAGTAGACTCGCCAAACGCCACAGTCAACATTTCAAATGTCCTTGCGCATTTAATTTCATTTTTTACACAGCACACCAAAACACGACTAACCTTTTTATCTGTCAAAAACAAACTGACAAACTAAAATGGCTGATATTGCCAACATATATAATTTTGATCAGACCTCGTATCCAATATATAATATTAAAAAGAAGAACCCGTTCGTAGTAAATATAGGTATCGGACTGGTATTGGCGATATCGCAATATCATATCATGTCATGGTGCTCATCAATGTCCAGAGGAACTCAATATATAGATTTCGGATATTACCCATTTCTATTATATACTATGTATTTTAAGTTTTATGATCTGCTGGTCTATTCTTGAATCTAATATCAATTTCCATTCAATCTATTATCAATCACAATTTCGTACCGCACTCATGAGGCTACAGTAAGGAATTAGGTTAGAATTGTAATCGGTTACAATACTTTTTTTACTGTTACTGTGGTAAAGCTACTACGGTAGAGCCAGAGTTTGACGTCAGGCAGGCGGCTGGTCGTAAAACTAAGCCAAATCTTTTTATAATATGGATAAAAAATATATTACGCCGACCCAATATAATAATTGGGATAAGGGTAGGAAGAAGACTGTGGTAGAGCCACGCTGTAATCCAGTATGGTATTGCAGCATGAATGGGCCGGCTCGACTGGGGTAGTACCACACCCTCACAGAATACCGACGTTAAGTGGTCGCACTTTTAGTGCGGCCACTAGTTTTAGTAGTAGTTTCGACAGGGACGTTCGGCCGGTGATCTTTTAGTTTGTATAACACACCGCCACCTCATCGGAAATTGTCGCAATAGTAGAAAAAACTTGTATTAGAAGATACTCGGCTGAAGAAGAAGCAGCTTGCAGCAATGGTTGGAGTATCCAAAACAAGTATTTTAAATATTTTGCATCATCATCTTGGCATGACTAAGGTCAGTGTAAGATGGGCTCCAAGAATACTCACGCCACTTCAACAAAGTGAGCGTGTCGAATGTTCTCGCCAGTTTTTGGAGGTCTGTGGAGAGAGTAAGGAAGAAGTTATGGCCTGCATTGTTACTGGAGATATAATAAAAGCACAACTCTTCCGAAGACGTTTAAAGTGTCACAATCGCTCGAAAAGATCATGGCGACTATTTTTTGGAATACAGAAGGTATTTTGCTGATCGATTACAAAAATCGTGGTGTGACTATAACGGGACAGTACTACGCTTCTTTATTGTACAGATTGAAAGAAACTATCAAGGAAAAAAGAAGAAGAAAGGTGTTCTTTTGCATGACAACACTCCCGTCCACACGTGCCATGTTGCGACCGCTGCCATCCACCGATGCGGGTTAGAAAAATAAGACCACTCACCTTATAGTCCAGACTTGACTCTCAGCAACTATTATTTATTTCCAAAAGTGAAAAGGAGCTGCATGAAAACAAATTTGGCAACGATAAAGAAGTCAAGTCTGCAATTTCGGTCTTTGACAGAAAAGATAACCAGTTTTTTCGATGGTATAAACAAATTATGTGCGAGATACGAAAAATGTATTAAGGTTAAGGGAGAATACATTGAAAAGGAAACCTAGTTTCATTTTTAATTTCAACCCCTTTCTCTCTTCCCAATTAAAACATTATTAATATAATAAGAATTAGAAAAGTGTTTTTGTGAGTGATGAGGAAATGAGGAAACTTGTGTGAGTGATGAGGAAATGAGGTTACGTGGCGCGGGGCGCGGTGTGACGTGTGACGTGTGACGTGTGACGTGTGTGGTGTGCAGGGCGGCGCGCGGTGCCGGCGCGGGCGCTGGCGGCGCGGGGCGCGGCGGGGGGCGTGTGGCAGCGGGTGCGGTGTGACGTGTGACGTGTGACGTGTGACGTGTGACGTGTGACGTGTGACGTGTGACGTGTGTGGTGTGCAGGGCGGCGCGCGGTGCCGGCGCGGGCGCTGGCGGCGCGGGGCGCGGCGGGGGGCGTGTGGCAGCGGGTGCGGTGTGACGTGTGACGTGTGACGTGTGACGTGTGACGTGTGACGTGTGACGTGTGACGTGTGACGTGTGACGTGTGACGTGTGACGTGTGTGGTGTGCAGGGCGGCGCGCGGTGCCGGCGCGGGCGCTGGCGGCGCGGGGCGCGGCGGGGGGCGTGTGGCAGCGGGTGCGGTGTGACGTGTGACGTGTGACGTGTGACGTGTGACGTGTGACGTGTGACGTGTGACGTGTGACGTGTGACGTGTGTGGTGTGCAGGGCGGCGCGCGGTGCCGGCGCGGGCGCTGGCGGCGCGGGGCGCGGCGGGGGGCGTGTGGCAGCGGGTGCGGTGTGACGTGTGACGTGTGACGTGTGACGTGTGACGTGTGACGTGTGACGTGTGACGTGTGACGTGTGTGGTGTGCAGGGCGGCGCGCGGTGCCGGCGCGGGCGCTGGCGGCGCGGGGCGCGGCGGGGGGCGTGTGGCAGCGGGTGCGGTGTGACGTGTGACGTGTGACGTGTGACGTGTGACGTGTGACGTGTGACGTGTGACGTGTGACGTGTGTGGTGTGCAGGGCGGCGCGCGGTGCCGGCGCGGGCGCTGGCGGCGCGGGGCGCGGCGGGGGGCGTGTGGCAGCGGGTGCGGTGTGACGTGTGACGTGTGACGTGTGACGTGTGACGTGTGACGTGTGTGGTGTGCAGGGCGGCGCGCGGTGCCGGCGCGGGCGCTGGCGGCGCGGGGCGCGGCGGGGGACGTGTGGCAGCGGGTGCGGTGTGACGTGTGACGTGTGACGTGTGACGTGTGACGTGTGACGTGTGTGGTGTGCAGGGCGGCGCGCGGTGCCGGCGCGGGCGCTGGCGGCGCGGGGCGCGGCGGGGGGCGTGTGGCAGCGGGTGCGGTGTGACGTGTGACGTGTGACGTGTGACGTGTGACGTGTGACGTGTGACGTGTGTGGTGTGCAGGGCGGCGCGCGGTGCCGGCGCGGGCGCTGGCGGCGCGGGGCGCGGCGGGGGGCGTGTGGCAGCGGGTGCGGTGTGACGTGTGACGTGTGACGTGTGACGTGTGACGTGTGACGTGTGTGGTGTGCAGGGCGGCGCGCGGTGCCGGCGCGGGCGCTGGCGGCGCGGGGCGCGGCGGGGGGCGTGTGGCAGCGGGTGCGGTGTGACGTGTGACGTGTGACGTGTGACGTGTGTGGTGTGCAGGGCGGCGCGCGGTGCCGGCGCGGGCGCTGGCGGCGCGGGGCGCGGCGGGGGGCGTGTGGCAGCGGGTGCGGTGTGACGTGTGACGTGTGACGTGTGACGTGTGACGTGTGACGTGTGACGTGTGACGTGTGTGGTGTGCAGGGCGGCGCGCGGTGCCGGCGCGGGCGCTGGCGGCGCGGGGCGCGGCGGGGGGCGTGTGGCAGCGGGTGCGGTGTGACGTGTGACGTGTGACGTGTGACGTGTGACGTGTGACGTGTGACGTGTGACGTGTGTGGTGTGCAGGGCGGCGCGCGGTGCCGGCGCGGGCGCTGGCGGCGCGGGGCGCGGCGGGGGGCGTGTGGCAGCGGGTGCGGTGTGACGTGTGACGTGTGACGTGTGACGTGTGACGTGTGACGTGTGTGGTGTGCAGGGCGGCGCGCGGTGCCGGCGCGGGCGCTGGCGGCGCGGGGCGCGGCGGGGGGCGTGTGGCAGCGGGTGCGGTGTGACGTGTGACGTGTGACGTGTGACGTGTGTGGTGTGCAGGGCGGCGCGCGGTGCCGGCGCGGGCGCTGGCGGCGCGGGGCGCGGCGGGGGGCGTGTGGCAGCGGGTGCGGTGTGACGTGTGACGTGTGACGTGTGACGTGTGACGTGTGACGTGTGTGGTGTGCAGGGCGGCGCGCGGTGCCGGCGCGGGCGCTGGCGGCGCGGGGCGCGGCGGGGGGCGTGTGGCAGCGGGTGCGGTGTGACGTGTGACGTGTGACGTGTGACGTGTGTGGTGTGCAGGGCGGCGCGCGGTGCCGGCGCGGGCGCTGGCGGCGCGGGGCGCGGCGGGGGGCGTGTGGCAGCGGGTGCGGTGTGACGTGTGACGTGTGACGTGTGACGTGTGACGTGTGACGTGTGTGGTGTGCAGGGCGGCGCGCGGTGCCGGCGCGGGCGCTGGCGGCGCGGGGCGCGGCGGGGGGCGTGTGGCAGCGGGTGCGGTGTGACGTGTGACGTGTGACGTGTGACGTGTGTGGTGTGCAGGGCGGCGCGCGGTGCCGGCGCGGGCGCTGGCGGCGCGGGGCGCGGCGGGGGGCGTGTGGCAGCGGGTGCGGTGTGACGTGTGACGTGTGACGTGTGACGTGTGACGTGTGACGTGTGTGGTGTGCAGGGCGGCGCGCGGTGCCGGCGCGGGCGCTGGCGGCGCGGGGCGCGGCGGGGGGCGTGTGGCAGCGGGTGCGGTGTGACGTGTGACGTGTGACGTGTGACGTGTGACGTGTGACGTGTGTGGTGTGCAGGGCGGCGCGCGGTGCCGGCGCGGGCGCTGGCGGCGCGGGGCGCGGCGGGGGGCGTGGGGCAGCGGGTGCGGTGTGACGTGTGACGTGTGACGTGTGACGTGTGTGGTGTGCAGGGCGGCGCGCGGTGCCGGCGCGGGCGCTGGCGGCGCGGGGCGCGGCGGGGGGCGTGTGGCAGCGGGTGCGGTGTGACGTGTGACGTGTGACGTGTGACGTGTGACGTGTGACGTGTGTGGTGTGCAGGGCGGCGCGCGGTGCCGGCGCGGGCGCTGGCGGCGCGGGGCGCGGCGGGGGGCGTGTGGCAGCGGGTGCGGGCGCGGGGGGCGGCGGCGCCGCGCTGGGCACGCCGCCATCTGCTGCTGACGCACAACCTGCTCTACGCCTACAGGTCGCCGGACGTGAGTAGTACTTTCTTCGTTCTCTGTTAGCGATTTGCAGCTAGTAGACGAGTTCAAGCGCCTTTGTGGCTCAGTATGGTCTTGCACCCCTATAAAACAGACATGTGAAATACAAACAACTGTCTATTATTTCTGTCCTATATTGCGTTGTTTTGATCTCGACAAAGATTACTAAAAATAGTCAACTTACTTGTGATTTTAGTTAAGGGCCCAGTTAATTTATTATTATTGAGTAATTTAAGATATACTTGGGATATGTGTGTGTCAAAATAACGCGGTTTACGTGTGAATTTTGGCCACAGTGCTTGCGCGCGGACTGCATGATCTACCTGGAGGGGTTCACGGTGTGCGCGGCGGGCGAGGTGAAGTCCCGCGAGCACGCGTTCAAGGTGTACCACACGGGCACCGCCTTCTACTTCGCCGCCGACTCGCACGACGCGCTGCTCACGTGGCTGCAGCTCATACACCGCGCCACGCTGCTGCCGCCGCTTGCGCACCCGCAGGTCGGTGCGGTACTAGTCGGCTGCGGCTCGTTGTTGTAACGGATATGTCTAAAAAATAAAATTTGTTATTCCATTCTCTCTGTCTTGAAAGTCCGGCACAAAGGATCAAAATGTAAATGTAAACTGTAAATGGCAAACAAATGAACAGTTCACTACAATAACAATGCTTGCTACGTTAATTTAAATAAATATACTATTTTACAGATGGACATTTCGAAACGATTCTCCGAGACTGATTATTCTGAGACAGAATCGGACAACGAGAGTCCAGAGAAACGTAATGAGCGCGAAAAGGAGAAGGAGAAAGAGAAGGACAAGTCCAAGTTCGGGTCGCTAAAGAAGCTGACAGGACGCATGCAACGCAGCGAGTCGCAGGAGACAGTGAGCCACTCGTCCACCAGCCTCGACAGGAAGTACTTGCGCTTCTTCTCCAGGAACAGGAGCAGGGACGACCCTAAGCCTGCCAAGGTAAGGAACCTCTCCCTTTCAGGTAGTTCAGTTTAGTGTAAGCATGAGACTGAACAAGAAACCAGCCGTTACTATTTCATTGTATGTCAAGGAATCATTAGCGATAATGATTCTATCGATTCGTTCATGTTTAGGAGGGTAGATTTCTTTTATGCAATCAAAATCATTAGAAGTTTATTAAATAATTGTATATTAGTGAAACTGAAAATTTTTCTACAAAAACGGGTTGCATAATTTAAAATTTAAAAGCTTTTGATACGTTCCAATAGCTCGAGCAATTCTTTAATATGATGAACTGTGAAACAGCGGACAATATAAATGACAAGCTAGTGGAAACTGTCCAAGTAGTGGGAAATAAATTTTGCAAGTCCCAATACTCAAAAAGAACCCAAAAACACGCTGATCGCACTCTAGATCTTATGAGGAAACGGCGTGAATTATGGTCCCAGCGTTCAACGTCTGCGTCAGAATAATCTTTATTAGGCAAATTTCCAAATGTCTACGTCGTGACATACGCTAGTTAAATTTTACATACATTGTATAGGCAATATAGCGGTATGAAGGCTCCAAAGTATTCGCCAAAGAATTGGCTATTGGGCAAAGACAACTGATAAAGTTGAAGACCAATATCGTTGATTTAATTCCTTCTACATCTGAGATTTTGAGTTAAGTCAAGAAATTCTATGGATAGTACATATTGTCGTTATCACCGCATGCTAATGCGAATAACGACCAAAGAGCTAAAGGCATCCGATACTATACTTTTTACGTAGTTTATTGGAGATTGAATTGGGTTTCAAACAGCTTAAAAACGGCAAGGCATCGGAAGAGCACGAAATTACAGCAGAGCTTCTGAGAGCGAGTGAAAAATCAATGCTTGTACTCCTTCAGAGACTATTTAATTTCGTTATCCATGATGGTGTTACGCTACAGGCGTGGAGTAGAAGTGCGGTGGTTTTGTTTTTCAAGGATGCTGACAATAATTCCCCATTGAAGAATTTTAGACCGATATGCCGACTGCCAGCCACCTAAGCAAGCTCGTTTCCGAAAGGGCATCATAGATCACATGCATACGCTACGGTAGATTATACAGAAAACCGAAGAGTATAATATGACACTATATCTAGTGTTTGTGGACTATGAGAAAGCCTTTGATTCGGTCGAGACATGGGCGCTACTACAATTCCTCCAGCAGCGTCAGATTGACTGTAGGTATATCGAAGTGTTAAAGTGTATGCACAGTAACGCTACGATGTCTATTCGAGTACAGAACCATATTACGTAACCCATCCGAGTGTAGAAAGGTATGAGACAGGGTGACGTCATATCCCCGAAACTCTGCACAGGTGCATTGGAAGATGTTTTAAAACTTTTGGACTGGAAAAGATAGGTATAAACATCAATGGTGAATACATCACTCATCTCTGATTTGCTGATGCCATAGTAATTGTGGCGGAATCTCTGGAGGATCTGAATGCTATGCTCAATAACCTCAATGGTGTTTCTCGATAGGTAGATCTTAAGATGAACATGGATAAGACAAAAATCATGTTTGACGTCCATGTCATACCTACGCTCGTTTGCCCCCCTGTGTTGTAAAAAAAACTACGTTCGAAGTCGAAGAGTGTGTATACCTGGCACAATTTTTTTGACTAGGAACGTTCAAACTTCGACCGAGAGTTCAATCGACGAATCCAACTCGGCTCAGTAGCCTTTCGACATATAAGCCACATCTTCTTATCCAAAATATCTCTAAAGTTTGAAGTGGAAAGTCTTTAATCAGTGCATGTAGCCAGTGATGACCTATGGAATCGAACCAGGATCGTACATGGTTGGGCTGTGCTCGGTGTTTCTTTGCGTGATAGAATCCAAAATGAGGATACAAAGGCAAGCTACTTAGCGGCAAAATTAATAGATGTAGGTACTTGTGCTAATGAATCTGTACAGTCTTCTTCTGGTCTCCACACAAAGTTTTGCTGATTGAATAAATATTTCATCATTTAATGTAACTCGATCAATAATTGCAGATGAATTGTTTATTCGATTACGGCTTATTTATAACTAACTATACCGCGAGTTCATCCGTATAACTGGTATAATATATTCTTCGATAAGAATAACTCACCATAACAAACGCGACGTATAAACCGATTTAAATAAAGATTAGTCGAGTCGTCAATGTGTTAAGAGGTAACAAACAAACGGTTTCACATTTATTATATTAACATTATGCGCTGTATGTTTTATGGTTTATAAGAAACGGGATTTAATGTATTGCATTATTGTTTGGTTAGAGCAAGCAGACGGGTGTGCCAGTGCCGACCGAGCACTACCGCAGTTACCGCCGCGCGCCGCCCGCCGAGCAGGCTCGCGAGCAGGCTCGTGAGCCGGCGCGCGAACCACCACTCGAGCCCGACGTCGAGCGAGCCGCCAAGAAGATCCCCAAGCCGATCAACTACATACACGCATCCAACCCGAACTTACTAGACTTTGAGAAGAGCGATTTTGTGACCAAGCCTACGTTGCAGGTACGTTGTAACTGGAGGCCAATCCAAGTGATTATCCGTTTACACTATGGTAGTTTGCAAGACCTCTAGAGTGTAAGCAAATTAATTCAATTTTATTCATGATCTGTTTTATGTATGAAGTTCTATAAACTGTTTTTATAATGTTTTTATTTTTTTTAAGAAAAATAAAAATAATATTAAGAAAAATTGATAAAAATGAAGTATTAAATGTAAAACTTTGTCCTATAGGAAGCAATAGTGTATGTTCTCTGTATTGTTAATATTTGATACTCGGTTGTGGCTTTCCAGGTACCGAAGCCGAAAGTGCAGAAGGCCGAGAACCTGATGGGGTTCGTAACGCTGGAGGAGTTCATGCTGAAGAAACAGGAGGAGGAGCGGCGGCAGGTGTACAGCAACCGCGTGCTGATGGGCGTGGAGCGGGGCCGGGACCTGCAGTGCCGCCTCGACCGCATCGTGCCCGACGTCATCTACGGCGAGCTGCAGGTACCAGTACACGCTGCACATTGCATACTGCACACTGTACACTGCACACTGCTCGCTGTTGTAATGCAGTCTGATGACAAGCTCCGTCCGCGTCGCGCTTGGCGGCTACTCTTAGTGCTCAGTCCTTCATCTTTGTTTTCTCATGTCTCCCTGTGAGAGGATGGGGAAACTTGTTCGGGGTGTTTTACCTCTCTCAGGTGTTTTTTTTTTCCGCCACACATAAATATTCGCGAGCCATTGGAGTAGACTGGTGTAGTTCGACGGCGTTTTTGTTGTTGTGTTGTTCAACTTAATCTATGCGGTTTTTGTTTTCCGAATGAAATTTGATGAAGGGGGAGGCATAGTAAATAGTTAGTGTATGAAACAGTCTTATGGCAATGTTGATCTCGTTAGGGATTGGCTTTTTGTTGTTCTCCTCGTGTGTGAGAGACGAGTTTGAACTGTACGGCTTGGAGTTTGGTTGTTGTGCGTGTAACGGCGCTAGGTCTTTGAGGTGGTTTCGGTCTGACGTGTAAAAACACGCTTGAATATTCTGGTGATCAGGTTTTTGATGTGGGTGTACAGCGAGGGTGTCCTTGAGGTGCTTGGATACTTTAATTTTGTTGTAAAATCTTTTTTCGTGAATGTTGAAGTTGTCGTCGATTGATGTCCACTCTTAGGTAGGTGGTGGTGGCGGATTACTCGATTGGGAGTCGTACAGGTGTAGCTCGGGCGGGTAATGCTTCGAGTCGAAGTAGGTCTGTTTACCGATAGTTTTCATTCTTCTAGTCATTTGTGTGGGGCGATCAATAGTTTTTGTATTTCCAGCATTGCGCACCTCTTACAAATGGATGATACAACATAGGCTGCGTTGTGAGTACGCAGCGCTAGGGCGGTGGCCGGGGTGGTAGGTGTGCGTGTGCGTGTGCGTGTGCGTGTGCGTGTGCGTGTGCGTGTGCGTGTAGCGAGGTCGCGGCCCCGGCGGCGCCGGGCGGCCGCAGTGCCGCCGCAGTCCACGTCCGGGCTGGCCGGGCTCCACATACCGGGCCTTGCACTCAGTCACCATCTCACTAGTCGGCGCGTAGAATAGCTCCGACTGGAATCTACTTCAGTCGACCATTTCCGCAGCTACAGGCGGCTGACCGTCGACTAGTACGTTCATAACGACGAGCGCCCGGGACCACCGCCGTCACCGTCCTCCTCTGACACCTGTAGGATCTGAGCGACTTGTTGCTTCTAATAGTACGTGTTCCCTCAGTAGTTGCGATACTAATCATAAGTACAGTGCTCAGTGTATTACATCCTCCATTCTTATATATAGTTCCTCCACTACACGAATTCCGCGCATGCCTAGGCGCAACCCGCCACCCGACCCTGGACAACTTTCCTTACATCGTACTTGGCTCTGCTTAACAACGCTCTTTCATTTCAGTATCGGTCAAGTCGTAATTAATATATATATATATATATATATATATATATATATATATATATATATATATATATATATATATATATATATGTATGTATGTATGTTAGATACAACATATAAATATCAAATAAAAGAAAACACAATGATGACAGTCTTTTTCATCTTTTATATTTAAACTAAATTGGAAAGATAGAATGATTTTAATTTTTTTTTTTTAAGGAACTGCTAGACGGGCTATTTTAAAATACTCACGGGAAGTTTATTTCACAGCTGTACAGCACGATGAATTATGTGTCATATTTAAAAAACAGATTAGACAACCTTTAAATATGTTTAATTATTTAAGGACTATTATACACTTACTGTGTGATCCCGGCATAAAATCATCATTGTAAGAATCGACTAAGGGCGGGCAGGGATGGGCAGCAGCATCCCTCTTAAAACATCTCTAAAGCCTAACTACGATTGCTAACCCGCCTGCCAAACGTGGCAACTACTGGCAAAACCCCCCAAAGAGGAGGCTTATGTTCAGTAGTGGACAGTTAAAGGCTGGTATGATGATACACTATACACTAATTACGTTCTGACGGTCAGTGATAGGTTTTTTAAAAAACGAATACTATTTAAGTTCACAATGTGGTTTAATATAATTTAACACGGAGTATTTAAAATTAGTAATTATATAATATTAGTTATATCTATGAATCGTGATTGATTCCTAAAATATACACCGCACGTTCGCGACTTGAAACATACTGGCCTCTTACCGCCATGTGGTATTTCTTTTTATCAATTTTCTTTGAAAATTGTGTCTTCATTCTTTGCAATATGTATTGGTATGTTGTAGTATGGTTTTGAAGGGGTTTGCACCCGTAACACACTAGTAAACTAAAACATTAAATAATTTGTTTTTTTTTAAATTGACAAATAATCATAACGTGAACTGCTGCTAATAGATAATTAATGAAATTATCCATAAATATATCAGTAATGTATGTTTTTGTTGATCATTCAGGGCCGCAGTCCGGAAGAGCAGAGCTCCTCCGCTGGGAGTCGCGACGGGAAACCGATTTCTGTCAAGGGAAAAGATGGGTTCGTGTAGCTTTTGAATTTTATTGTTTATATTATAATTGTAATAATTTTTATATACTTTTTGTTGCAAAGTAGTTATTTAGAGACAATTATATGTATATATATATATATATATACATATATATATACATATATATATGACCATTTATCACTGATACGATCAAATGGAGCGAGTAGTGAACGATGCTCCTTCTACATAAATTTTGTTAGTTCTAATTATGATAAAAACATTTTGAAGACGCTTAAGTTTATTAAGCTGGTCTTCCGTAAGATCCAGATAACAAGTATCGGCATAATCAAGAATTGGGAGTAAAAGAGATTGGGATCTTTATTATCTTATATTAATACTATTTCATCAATGAAATTGTTTTGGGATTTTAAAATATTTTAAAGAGTTAAAAATAATATATATATATATATATATATATATATATATATATATATATATATATATATATGTATGTATGTATGTATGTATATATAGGCGAGGGGTTTTTTAATAAGTGAAAATGGAATGGTAATTCTGTCTGTGATATCGGTATATGCTGGCAGGGTACCTGTAGATAGATGATAGATGAGGATGAAGGCAGGTCAGTTGGTACCTCGTGAAGAATTCGATAAGAATTAATCACTATTGGTTTGTAGGGGTAAAGGGGGGTCACGGGGAAGCTGACCTGACAGAGTATATTGCTAGCAATAGGGCTGTTAGAACCCATTGCTAGCAATCCCTTTTTAGGGAGAAATTGGTAATCCTATCTCTATAGGCGATATCCCTATAGGCCTATAGTTAGTGGTGGGCGGAGAGAGGCTCGTTGGGCAGTGGTGATGCACGAAATAAGTGTTTGGCGGCGGATTTTATATTAAAAATATATTATTTTTATTTAAATTTACAAGTGGCAGAGCGACTGCCCCAACACCGACAAATCCCACTTATGCCTATTTACATGGTCTGGTATACTAAAGTTATAATTGTGATCAGTACAATAATACGATAGTGGTGATGTGTGTCACTGTACACGAGTGCGGCGTGTGCGGCGTGTGTTGCAGGTACGAGCGGCTGGTGTGGCCGGCGGACGCCTGGCGCCACTCGCTGCGACGCTGCCACAAGGTACCGCCGCCGTATTTACACTGTTGAGTTTAAAATAAATATATACATGATGTTCAAATAAAAAGTTTAACGAGTAACATATTTCTATGCACTCCAATTGGTAGCCACCGAACTGTCCAAAGTGCAGTTAAATTAAAAATAATCACTGCTATAAAAATTCTATGTATATTTGTTCATTAAGATTACGTAAATTATTCGTAATTCAGCTAATACATTTTCAAATCCTTTGCCGCATGGTCCCGGCATAGAATGGGCCACCTCTTTTTTTTTATACAACTTAGAATGGCAAACAAGCTGACGGCCCACCTGATGGAAAGTGGTAACCGTCGCCTATATACATGAGCAGTACCATGCACATAACAGAGTATACTGTTTCGCCCATGATACCCCCATGCGTTGCCATTCCTGAGGACTTAGATGTTATACCTCTGTACCCTGTAAATTCACTGTCATATACCACCCTTCAAACCGAAACACAGTCATGCAAACACAACTGCTTCACGGTTGAAACACGAATGGGACAGAGGTACCATTTAAAAATGCTTACTTAATTTTACAATTTGCTTCTCAAGTAGCGGACGTAACATAGCTTATAGCAACAACTAAGACAAACTAACACTATAATCATTTAGAGAATAACTAAAGATTTGTTTAAATTTTAATGCACATTGTAGTTGTAGATGCGTTTGTTGTACTTAAAACCGAACGGTGTTCTCTACCAGTTATCACAACCATTGGGCAAACAGAGAAATAGATGTATATTTGTTTTTATACAGGTGCACAGTGAAAGCGGAACCGAATCACCGGCACAATCGCCTGACAGGTAATTTACATACACACACCAGGCCCTCTAGACAAGTGGCAAGCGAACTCGTCGATGGAATCGACATTACTGACGAGTCCGTGAGATAGAATGAGATAGAAACGCCGGATGTCTCATTCCATCACGGACTTGCTAGCGTTGTCGATTCCATCGACGAATTCGCTTGCCACTTGTCTAGAGAGCCTGCTGTAACCACCTGTAATGTGATAAGTTTGACTCCACGAATTAAAAGAGAGAGTTAAAATAACCTTACGTGTTATTTAGGATTGTGCAACTGCTTCACGGTTGAAACACGAATGGGACAGTGGTACCCAAGCAATCGACTTTTGTACAAAGTCTCCCTCTGTTGGATCGCATTACTAACTATCCCTGTCCCCTCCATATTTGATAGTTGCTGTATATTAGTGGAGGTAGGTGGAGATGTAATAATAAGCGGTGTGTCTGTCTGTAGCTGGGCTCGTGGCCGGCAGCCGGAGGCGGGCAGCGCGAGCGGCGGCGGCGGCGGTGGTGCTGGTGGCGGCGGTAGTGGCGGTAGTGGCGGTAGTGGCGGTAGTGGCGGTAGTGGCGGTAGTGGCGGTAGTAGTGGGACGGCGGGCGTGCGGCGGCTGCGGCAGGTGTTCGCGGCGCGGCCGCAGTACCCGCACCTGCAGTGCCCGCCCACCTTCCAGCCAGAGACGTACTCGCTGGCACGCCTCGCGCCGCCAGCACAGCCAGCACCAGCACCACCAGCACCAGCACCACCAGCACCGCCAGCACCAGCACCGCCGGCGCCGCCCCGCCGCCAGCCGTGACACGCGCCCGGTGGACCAGCACGTGCGATCACTCATAGTTTTACATATTTAAACATTTATCGACATTCAACGAGAATGTGCGACGTAAAGTGACAGTTTTATCTGCTCCAAATAAAAGGTAGGAGAATAAAAAATCAGTTGTGTCACCCTCGCACTTCTACCAGTAGAAGAATGCAGTAGGAGTAAAAGAACATGCCAAATGTGCATTCCGTATGCTAGTAACTGTACGAAGAATATATTAAAGGAATATTTCCAAGAAAATCTTAGACAGATGGTAACTGTAACTTTTTGAATACATTTCTATCTTGTCAATATTTTACATTTTACATGAACTCTTCGCCAAATTTCAGAAGCAATATATAACTTAGAAAAAAAAATACTTGTTTTATATATTTTGCTTTTTTTTGTATATACATTTTTTTATCTCTTTTAACTAGATATGTCCATATAATTTAAGATTTCATATATATATAGTATCTATCAATACTAACGAAGTGTCAAAAATTTAGATTGGCAACAAATATCGTATAATTTTCAGGTGTTACAAATGTTAAAATAACTACACCACGAACTTTAATAACTCTCGCTTATTTATTACTTATACTAATTATGTAAAAATTAAAATATTTTCTCAAATTTTTTATAATCCACGACCTGAGTAGCGCTGCGTTAATAAATCTTGTAATATATCATTTACTGTTACATATCAAGTCACGAGTATACTCCACACTTCCATTATATACCAACTGCACACACATTACTTTGTAAGCAAAAAGAGAAAAGAAATGTGACAGTGGAATGAAAAAGAGATGCACTCCGTCTGGCCGTATACAATACACTATATGCCCGCACACGTCTGTTACTTCATAGGCTAAAATGGAAAGCTTACAAATTTCTAAAAAAAAAAAAATTGTTTCACCTCCAGGTGTCATTTTAGGCGTAGTTGTGACTTATGTACCATATTTTGGTTTTATTATAATATTGCCTGTAAACAGCTATACTAATATATGCTTTTTTATCGTTTTTAAATACGATATATATATGTTATATATATACACAAATAAATATAATATAAATTATTCGTCAGTCCGTCAGTGTAGCAACTGTAATACAATACTCGTTTTGTTTGTAAAAGGTTGTGATTTTTAAAAACGATCGAATTTTATACTTTTTCAACTAATTTGAAAGTAATCAACGACGAAGTACAATAATTGTTATGAAAAAAAAAAGGAGACAAATATATAAAATATATTAAACATGTATTGTTTTGGAAAAAAAATGTGTAAATATTGCGAAATTTAATGTAATATGTATTTTAAATTATAAACATATATCGTGAAGTCCACGAACGATTTATAATAAGTTAAACCAGCCACTGTATAGAGGAACGTACAGTAAGCGTTACCACTAATGTATATTGATAACAGAGAGGGAGACTTTGTACAAAAGTCGATTGCTTGGGTACCTCTGTCCCATTCGTGTTTCAACCGTGAAGCAGTTGTGTTTGCATGGCTGTGTTTCGGTTTGAAGGGTGGGATATGGCGTGAATTTACAGGGTCCAGAGGAATAACACCTGAGTCCTCAGGAATGGCAACGCATGGGGGGTATCATGGGCGAAACAGTATACTCTGTTACGTCCATGGTACTGCTCATGTCTATAGGCGACGGTTACCACTTTCCATCAGGTGTGCCGTCAGCTTGTTTGCTATTCTATGTTGTATAAAAAATGTATACTCAATACGTATGTAGTGTAAAGTAAATAATACGTACTATGAACACGGTGGTGCTTGCTCATTATATTGTACCTATTTTAATAGACGTGTATCTTTAATTGTGGAATAAATTAGTGTTATAAAGTATTATGATTAAAATCATATTGCAAATAGTAGAACTGTACGGACCTAAGAACAAGGAATTACATAGAAGAGTGATAAAACTGCCAATTCGTAGTAGGCCAGTGTAAAGAAAATGTTATACGGCCGTATAGCCCTACCAAATTCAGATACAACCTGCTCGCATACTGTCTACATAAACTGTGTCGAATATATAATCTAGTAATGTAAAATTTGACATTGACAAATAATTGACATATCAAACATTTTCTTATACGCTAGCCTGCTATGAAGTGAGAAATAGCAACTGATGGTGTATCTTTCGTCCTCTTTTTACTAATTGTATTTGCATAAGAAGAGAGGAGACAACCGTATGATTTACGGTTTTTATTTTATCATTTCTTCTATGTAATTCCTTGTTCTTAGGTACGGGCAGAAAGTCCGTTTCGTTCTACTGCCTGTAGTGTGATAGAAACTATATCGTAGAACTGTACGGATATAATAGAAAAATACATCGTATGTGCAATGATGACGGTATACGATGCGAAATAAGAGACCCTGCGTGGGCGCAATAGAAAAAAAAAACATAAAGATTAAATAAAACGTCTGGAAAATTGTAATTTGTGTAAAATTGTAAATTGCCGCTGTTCAACCCTGATGTGGATCTTGAGGAATTACTTGATCTATTTAATTAATTTTGTGATAAATAAAAAACGTTGTCCTGGTAGAAAAATATTCTTAGTGAGAATGAACTTTTTCTGTTATTTTTGGTCACCATGGCAATGCGTGCATTTCTCAGTTGCCTGTGTACATATATGTATATATGTGTGTGTATATATATATATATATATATATATATATATATATATATATATATATATATACATATATGGTATGGTATATATGAATGACAAGTTGAAACTTGAATGAGTCTGCATGAAGGTATCTATCGTGACCCGTGTTCGTGGGAGTGTAAACGAGAAACGTCCAGTATTACGTACAATAATTTAGTTATATATATATTATTTAAACTCAATAAGTATAAAAAATGTTTCAGCCAATTCGACTGATCGGTTATTTTATAGCATTTTATATGTGATTCCTTAGATTGATGTAACTTTTTTATTTATGAATCGATTGCAATAAAACAAACACTATGTGAATGTGAATGTGAAAAAGACTCTATTTTCCTCGCTTAGCCTAAAAAAATAAGCACTAAATGTTGAGGGAAGCAAACCGCAACACATTAGTGAAAACCGCATTCAATTTGGTTAAGCCGTTACTAAGATTAGCGTGCACAAACGTATAGACATACAGACATACAGACAAACGGATGAAAATTCTAAAAATCCCTATAATAGTTTTTCTTGTATATTTTCCATGTACAGACAGCGATCAGTTTTGATTTTGTTATATGTATTGATTGATAACGCAATATCTGTAGCCACTATTGCACCATGTGACGCGACACTCTTAAACAGCTGTTAAAAATTATGTAGTTAACTGATCCCACCTTCAGGGAGTGAAAAAATGAGGAAATATATTTCCTCACGCAGCTCTCACCTCCTCTAATGGGGTACATAAATAATAGGTAATGGATGGATAAACAATGCCATACTAGCTACGCCTGCGACTTTGTCCGTTACTCATATGTAGCGTATCTCCTACTACGGGCCAAATAGGTATATGCCAAATAGGTATATGCCAAATTTTATGACAGTTAGAGTCGAGTTGAGGAGGACGTAACAAACAAACAAACTCACATTCACATTAGTAATATCAGATGGGGAAACAATGATAACGGTTTATATTGTAATTTTGAATAGATTGTGCCTTCAAATATTCCGTATGTATTATTTTTATGGAAATTATCTGGCTTTCGTATTTTATTAAAAAAAAAAAAGAAGGAAAACCATTTTTACAAAGCTACAATATATACATTTTTTTATACCACGAAATTGGCAAATAGGCATGCAATCTGTCTGATGGTAAACAGTCACTGTAGCCTATGGACGCCTGCGACAGTAGGGGTGTCACGTGCACGTTGTCCACCCTGAAGAAACCTTAACGTACCCTTTTTGAAGAACTCCATGCTGCAGTCTCTAAGCAAAACCTCGGCAGGGAGCTCAATCCACAACTGGAACTTTCGCGGGTGAAAACTCCTCCGAAACCGCCCTTTATACAGCCATATATAAATGATAATTCTGCGCCGCGTTGTGAGGTTTTTTTTAATGGATGATAATGGAATGGTAACCCTGCCTTCGCTAACGGCATGCGCTGGCGGGGCACCAGTGAGCGATGACAGATGAGAATGAAAAGACAGGCCAGTTAGTCTATCGTGATGAATTCACCTGGAATTCAGCACAGTGGTTTCAAGGAGGGACCACGGGCTGGTTGGCCAGGTTGGGCATATTGGTAGCAATGGAAAGGGATTGTTAGTAATTGGGTTTAAATACCCCATTGCTAGCAATATACACTAACAGGTCGACCTCCACGTGGTTCCCCCTGGAAACCATCGTGGTTAATTCTAGTCCATGGAATTATCACGATTGCCTTACTGACCTGCCTTTTCATCCTCACCAATCATCCCTCACTGGTGCCCCGCCAGTGTATATTGATAGCGCAGGTAGGGTGACCATTGCATTATCACCCGTTAAAAAAGGTAGCAATGGGACTGGTACTCCACGTTACTAATAATCCCTCCCCCCCTGCGTTGTGAGGTATTGGCAAGGATAACATGCAAACCTACTAGCCGACTCGATATATGATTATATGTAATATTATATTGGCGCTGTGCTCAACGATTCTACATATATACATATAGTACCCTAGTTTATATAATTGATTGCCAATAAATGCTAATTGTTACAATAAATTCTATTTTTATGAATATTATATATGAATTATAACTATCATGTTATCCAATGTTATGTATAGGCAGACAACGAGAATGTATGTATATTAATAATAAAACGGTATAGGTGCTGACTTAGAAATGTGAACACTATTGTCTTTGTATTAGAGTCTAAAATCTTATGATTGGTTATTAAGCGCCTCTAGCGGGCAGTGTTTGAAATACATTACTCTAAAAAACTAATCCCCTTATTCATAAAAACGTTAAATCTCTTATAAACGAATAGTACGATGGGCTTAACAGAGTATACTGTGTCGCTCATGGGGTATCCCTCATTACGGACATGTGTTATGCCTCTGTACCTTATAATTTAATTGCCATATTGCACCTTTCAAACCTAAGTTTGTAGTGAGATTCCAGTTTTCATGAATAAGGTTGTAAAAATTCAGCCAATTAGGTAGCTAACCATTAAAAATAGGTAATTAAATGTATGGTAAATTATTTATACGTAAATACTCGTAATTTTGAAATAAAACAATGCAATTGATAATTGCTAATAACTATTCAATTTGTTCCTATCTCATTTGAATTAGGGGTAGACATAATAGTTTTGTTTACTTCATTGTGTTTGTACACAACTTGGAGGCACTTGGGATGTCTATACATTGTTTTATAAATTGAAATAATTGTATCAACTTCAAACTTCTAGTTCTAATAGAAGCTTAACACAGATCGTATGGTGTACTCTTGAGGTATTCACCGTTACTGTGTTACATTATCACATTTAACTGCAATGTTTTAGTGGTTAAACTTGATAATTTGACAATAATTCAATGATTTATAATATAAACTTGGCCCCTACATGTTTTTATTGTGATACGTTCTTTAGACCGTCATGGGGATGAGAAAGAATGGGAAGAATCCTATTTTTTTCATAAACACCGTAAGCAGTTTATATTATTTGGATTTACTATTATAAGACCTAACTTAAATGTAATTTTTTTATTAAAAACTTATAAATACACATTTATTATAAGTTTTAACTCGTTTTGATGATTTTATTTTATTTATTATATCGTTTACTCAAAAGTGATTTCAGATTAAAACTTACATATTAATTTAATATTGTATATTTAATTGTATTTTGCATCTATTAAGTTTGTATGTAACATTTGAGATCTCAGTGTTCTATTTTAACTTAAATGTAATAATAAAATGTCTGAAATTAATTTTATAATAAATGGAAATATGTGTTTTAAATGTAACTTATTTCAGTGAAATGTATAGTTTAATGAAAACAATGGTTATGAGATGTAAGTGGTAAGTTTAATATGTAGGTAGTTATTATTTATGTCAAGTAGACGCGAGTATAGTGAATATTTTTTGATAATTATTAATTGTCGGTCATCGAACTGAGGTGCTTGTGACTGCTATAGACATAGTCGAGTTTTACGTATATGTATGTATGTTGGTGCGTTGTTGTAATGACGTCGGGCGCAACTAATCGAGCTGTTGTTATTTGTATAGATACAAGTATGTTACAACAATAATAGTTGAAATTATGTCATACATATAGGTGGAATATGAATAAATTTTTATAGAAAAATATTGCTTTTTATTTACGATCCTTCTACTTTATTTGTTTATACCAGCGGCCCGTCCCGGCATCGCGCGGATGGACATTTTTACATTTTAAAGATGTGCCCATTAAGGGTGTACACGCGACGGAAGCTTAAAAATTGAGTAATTTCTCCCGTTTTCCTAACATTTCCCTTCATTGCTCTGCTCCTATTGATCGTAGCGTGATGAAAAGTATACTATAACCTGCCCAGGAGCATGAAGAATAATTGTACCAAGTTTCGTTAAAATCCGTCGAGTAGTTTTTATTTCTATAACGAACATACAGATAGACGGACAAAAATTTTACTGTTTGCATTTTTGGCATCAGTATCGATCACTAATCACCGCCTGATAGTTATTTTGGAAATATATTTCATGTACAGAATTGACCTCTCTACAGATTTATTATAAGTATAGATAGAAGATGAAATACTTGTATAGACTTACTGTAATAAAAATATTTGCTACAATATCATATGAATGTGCTAATATGTTTATAAATTAAAATGTTGTCAAGAAGTCAGTAATTAGCCATAATAATAATTAAGATCATTTTCCACAAAAAATAAACCAACATCCATTGTGTCGAAACCAGTTGTTTTCATTTAAAAAGTAACACTGAATCTGAACAGATTTTTTTAAATTTTCTATGGGATCAATCTGAAATATATCTTTTCATAAAAAATTATTTTCCTAATCGGTTTAGAACTGACGGAGCAAGGAAGGAGCTTTTTTGACCACCAATTTTTTTTTAATGAGTGAAGATGTAATTGTAGCCTCGCCTGCGCTATCGGTATACGCCGACGGGGCACCAGTGAAGGGTGACAGGTGAGGATGATGGCAGGTCAGTTTGCCCATAGTGACCAATTGAACAAGAATTAACCAATATGGTTTCCAGGGAGAACCGCGCGGAGGTCGACCTGCTAGGGTGTATTGCTAACAATGGGGCTGTTAAATCTCATTACTAACCATCCCTTTCCCCTCTGATCCACCAATTAATAGTGAAACTTAACATTCACTGTTCGATGAACAGTTAAAAAGATGCTAATGACATCTGTATCGCTCCGCGCAGCTGAGTACAACATCCGACGGTGGCTGTCGCGCTGGCGACTCGTCCGATATCGGAATTAGCATTAAACAACCGCCAAACACCTATTCAAATGAGATCCGTCCGTTTTGTGTAGCGGGCGCCGAATTAAACCGTCGGTGGGCGGCGGACGGTGGACGGCGAACGGCGGACGGCGGAGGGTCGCCGCGTCTCTATTTAAGCGTTCATCACATCGATTTGGCATGATAATGATGGCAGGAGTGGATGTCATGTCTGCGCTATGAATATGTAACGGCTGGATTGAATGTACGAATTCTTGCGTTATATTTACATTGTATTATATTGGTCTAGGTGCATGCACTGATTTTCTATTTAGTCATGTATTTTCCACAGTTAGAACTGTAATGTTTGTTTCGATAAATTAACAATTAAACAGTATATATACTTTATTGCACTAAAGCATGCAGTAATAACAAGAAGTTAATAACAATCTTATCTCTAAAAGAGATTTCTTGCAGTCAACCTAACACAGTGGCATAGGAAGTGGAAATAGAGTAGAAATATACCTATTTATTGACCGCAATAGCCTGAAGCATAAGTAAACTGAAATAGGTTGGCTTACCTTCTTGTTGTTGAATGATGACTCTCATACAGGCATATTTTTAAAACACTCTGTTTAAGATTAAACCCATATTCGTGGGACTTCTTTACTTTTGTATTAATTTTAGCTGGCAACTATACACTTTTGAACATGGGCTTCCTATATGGATTGCCATAAAGAACGGTTCTGAGCCACTTATATCCATTGACTTTCTGCAATGTACCTCTTTAAAGTTGTCGCTCCATTTAGTGGGGAATCGTCCTTTACTGTGCTTGTACGTGGTCGCCATTCAATAACCTTTCACCCCTACTGGTTGTCGACATGCATATTTCTTTACATGGACGAAATTTTTTTATGCTACTTAGAATGGCAAACAAGCTGACGGCCCACCCTGACTTTCGTAACTCATTCTATTATTTTCAACCGATTATAAAAAGTTCTCAATTCGTCTGCGTATATATATATATATATATATATATATATATATATATATATATATATATATATATATATATATATATTTTTTTACCTCATAATTCTGTCAGTTGTAAACTGATTTGTATTTTTTTTGTATTTGAAAGGACATAATTATAGATCGGTCCTACAGAAATATTATTAAAATCGGTTCCGTGGTTTAGTTTTTAAACCAAAATATTACAATCAATACGACATTGTAACTTTCAAGAAAAGAGCATATTCCATTTTAAAAGGCCGACAGCACACCTGCAATGCCGTTGGTGTTGTGGGTGATCATGGGCGGCGGTAGTCATTTACCATCAGGTGAACCGCATGCTCGTTTGCCCCTGTGTTATATAAAAAAAAAACGAATTTGTTTTTTTTATGAAACACAATCTTAAATTATATTAATTTAATAATCACTTATTTGTTTTTGATGCCATGAAATACCTATATATTTTAAGTAAAATATAGATACAATCTATGCCTTACAGAATAGAATCTATGTAGTCTTATGTTAGCGGTAGAACAACAGTGCAGGATGTGAACCGAGCTTATTGTTATTACTGTAAGCATAGATTAAAATAATAGTTGTCTTTAACGAAATATTTGCTCTTCTTCCATCTACGTAATAATATATGTACCTATATCGGCGTAGATGAAATGCGTCAATGAAGTAACTAAATAGTTATGTCACTATAGAAATATGAATTTTATAAAGAATACATACAATAAAATAAATAAATATATAACGATAACGATATTGTCAAAACCAATTTAGTACATCTACTCTCGCTACCAAAAACTGAGTACCTCTGTCCCATACATACAGAGGAATAACACCTGAGTCCTCAGGAATGGCAACGCATGGGGGGTATCATGGGCGAAACAGTATATTCTGTTATGTCCATGGCTATAGGCGACGGTTACCACTTTCCATCAGGTGGGCCGTCAGTTTGTTTGCCATTCTAAGTTGTATAAAAAAAACCAAGCCTGAACTTGATATTTACTTTGACAGTCACTCTGTGTTCATGTCTAAATTAAAAAGTGGATGTAACTCACCATTATGTTTTGTATTATTTTTAAATTAATTTAAATTAAATTCAAGTAATTTGAATTGTTGGCTGTCATCGAATGAATGAAAATTTTTTATATTTTTATTCATTTGATGATATTTAATTGTTTAATAATTTAATTATATTTTAATATTTTTTAAACACAAAGCATGCTGTGCTTGTCTCTAAATGTAAGAACAGTTAGCTGTAATCCACTAGTGTATTGTATCGAAATGTTTCGCTTTTCGCTGTATCTTATGTTGGTGATCCTAAATAAATAAATGAATTAATTAAATTTGAGTATTAGTAGTTATACATTACTTATCTAATCAATTTATTTGATAGTAGCTGTATTGTATCATTCGTTAGCTGTCCACTGCTGAACATAGCCTCCCCCATAAGGGGGGAGGGTTGCCAGTAGTTGCTACGATTGGCAGGCAGGTTGGCAACCGCAGTTTGACTTGTGGTAATGTTTTAAGAGGGACGTAGTTGCTCATCCCTCTACCTTAAGCTGTTGAGACCACACGGCTCGTGTATACACTACTACACGGCATTGGGAGAAGGGATTGTTTGTAACGGGCTCTACCAGACCCATTGCTAGCAATATACCCTGTCAGGTCGACCTCTACGTGGTTCCTCCTGAAAACCATCATGGTTAATTCTTGTCGAATTCTTCACGATGCGCCGACTGGCCTACTTTCATCCTCACCTATCATTTATCACTGGTATCCCGCCAGCGTATGCCGATAGCGCAGGCGGGGTTACCGTCCCCTTTTCACCCATTAAGAAACAAAATATTACACGCCACGGACTGTGGCTGCTGTGGTTATAAAATAACACAAAACAAAACCAAAGATACAAACAGTGCACCGTAGAAATGCAGGTAGGTACTTCTAACTGTGATACATAATTGAGATCTTGGATTTATGTATTCGAAGGTGATCGTGTTCCCTCTGAAATTCACGTGTCTGCGGATGTGGGGCGATCGGTTTGCCGGTACAATTTATACGTGTGTACATAATATATTAGATGGGCTGGCGGGCGGGCTGGTACGTAACGATTGGGTGGCGAGCTGAGGCGGCCAGACGGACGGCACACGTGCAGCTCTCGTGACAATATGCTTTACGGACGCAGCTCTATTGCATTCCTGGCCTTAATTTTGTCTTACTAATGTAA